AGGAATTTGAAGCTTTAAATAACAGTCATAGAAGGTTCGGATAACGCGTGCACGTGGACTATTTTGATACTTGACGTTCAGCTTGCATTGTTCATTGTGCAGACTGGGTTATGGGTGTAATTCAATATTACGAATTTTTTACATAAGCTACAATTAATTTACGTGAATTCATCTATCACAAGAAAAAATACACTGTAAAGGGTAACTTCGAACATCAACAATTCGAATCAAACTCGTTTTTATCAGGAAGCAGTTAAGAATACGTGATACTAGTAAGAAACGATTTTTGTAAGTCTCGAAATCATTCGTTTACCGAATTTTCTCGGAATATTAATGTTCACTGGAATCGATTGAATTTCTAACTTTAGTGGCCAAGTCGAGCATATAACCATAGTCGAACCTTTAAAGGCCGATTTTCGCACGAGCACTAATTTCTCGAATTAGGTACGCATTTGCGCGCCGCAGTTTGCACATTTTTTTTTTATCTATGGCATTGGTAAAGAGAAAGCCACGGCGTTAAACGAACCGTGAAAAAGCAAAATCTTTCGGTTTGGGACAAAATGACTGCACTACTTTATATTATAGTTTATATCTCGTTATATTCGAGAGTTCCCAGAATATGCAAATAATTATTCGCTACGCAGCTCTGATTGAAATTGTTCAACCGTTAAAATTTCAAATCACAATGGAAGAAGATTTAAAAAAAATTTACATCATCGCCGTCTTGGATTTGGTGATGTATGAAAAATACTTGTCTATGCTTGTTTGAAACGAAATATCAAGATAAAAAGTATATACGAGGAGCTTGCGTATTAATGCAGGAAAAATGTGAGAAGTGTCTTTTACCACCTCAAGATATACTGCCCTCTGAGGTTTCTATTCAACAATGATGCTTGTATTTGAGCAGATGTTTACTTTAATCGTAGATTCTTATTTTAAAATCTTTGTTTATAATCGCTTTGTCTATCGAGTTTTTTTAGTTTTTTTTTTCGCATTAAAAACCCGTATAAACAAACGAAATATAGACTAATATTTTTTTATGATATTCCAACTTCAATACTAAATACTTTCTCTACTGGTTACGTTTATTCGTATTAATTAAGATAATTTCATTTAATTGTTTTTGTAACTATAGAAAAAAATTGACCTTACAGCCAATTTAGTTGACAACATTTTTCATAAAAAATTACAATATTAACATACGTGAATAAGTTTTTTATTTTAAACGCTTAATGTAGCGTCATTAGTACTAAAAAGCAAAAAAAGAAGTTCATAAGTTTAATTCTCAAAGAGCCACTGGTGCAGGAGATTAGCGCAAAGTGTGCATATAAATGATGACGCACAGGTAAGTAAGGAGTATACATATACGTTTATAGAATGCAAATGGACGTATGAGGGCTGTAGAGGCTTGGCTGAATGTTTGAAAAGCAGTTTACTTGCTTTAAGGGTAAACTCCGCATCTCACATCACGCCTTTTTTCTCGACAGCGGCAGGTCAAATGGGATGGCGGAGACAATCAGGTATCGCGGAAGGAGAATTTTCAAGAGAAAGGATTTACATCGACACTTTAAGCTCTGTATAGTGATATGGTTGGAATACCATGAAGTTTTTTAATATCTTTAAAAATTCTGCTCTCTTAGATATTTAATTTTTCATAATTTTTTTTTGTGCCCTTTGTGGCATTAACCATAATCACGCTATCTACTCTTTGTAGTTCAACCTGCGTATCATGCGTAGCATGAGAACGGGAAAAAGGCATTTACAATCACAGCCGTCTTGTTTGCTTCGAAACAAAAGCTCCACCACAATGAATGGTTTATCCAACACCAATTTCTGTCTTTGTGGCTATGCGTCAGCGTAAGAGAGGATCCTACTCACCGCTTTATTTGTGGCAAAACGAAACATTTCAATGATTACTTGAATTTTATTGTTACATTGTATATGTTTCTTTGATGCTACTATTAATTCGAGTATCATATTTTACAATTTCTGAAATTACTTTACCTATTTCAATATGAATTAATTTCTTAGTCAGAGAACCTTTTTCTGATTAGTCAATGGTTTTAAAATTTATATTTCACATACGTTAAAAAGTAAAACAGATAATCTCTTACTTTAAAATAACTAAAGTCAAGTTAGCTCAATGAATACGTCATGATCTCACAAACTTTACCTTTTACTTTCCAGGTTGAATGTGCTATTTTTTGGAAATCATGTAAAATTAAAGGAAAGCTTTGAAAATATTTATTATTCATTTCATGTAAAATTAATTGAGTGACATACCTAATTATAAATGAGAATTGTTTTGTTCTGAAAAGCCAATGTGCATAAGTAGATTGCAATTCAAAATATTAAAAAGTAAAAGTCCTTTAACATTTTATCAGCTTCATCTAAGCTACAATAATACATCCCACATCTGACCGCATTATTTCCTTCATTGTTCTTGCCAAATGCAATTGCAAACAAATGGAATGCTGTAATAATGGGCAGGGTGGAATCGTTCAGAAAGAAGGAAAAAGCGGCTGGCTCGGAGAACAGACGAACACGACTTTGCGAATAGCTTTGCACACAAAGTATAGCCGATTGCTTTACAATTTCGCTATTGCACTTCTTTTGCTTTCTGCTCAAATTGGATTTTCTTTGAAATGAGGACAGTGTTCGAAGAGTTTAATAATTTTTGGAGTATGTGAGGAGATACCGTTAAGAAATATTTAAAATTATTTTCATTGCTCACACTAACGTCAACGATTTCATTCTCATCTGTAAAAAAATAAGAAAGCTTTTTTCTGTTCAATTTCGATACATATTATTACATTTATTAACAAAAATTACTAAGCTCGCCAGAAAAAGTGCCCCAGTCGTAATATGTCAATATTATAACGGTTTGTAGTTAGTAATTTTTGATAGGTAAAATTATTTTAAAATAGAAATGTTTATTGTTTCTCTTTGGGTTTGAGCAATTGTAGCAATTGGAGCAATCGTAAAAAAAAATGATTTCAATAACATATTTGAAAATTTGAATTTATACCAACAAGACTTGTTTTTGCCACTTTTGTAGATTTACAATACTCCATCTGTCGATGGAATCAAAAAGCTTTTATTATGATAAATCTTATTACAATACAATTATTCACTAAAATTATTTAAAGATGCTGATGCTTTAAAGATGATCATAGTATTCCAATCACTGTCTTGAAAACTAGATGTCATTTACGATGCAGTTGTTGGTAAATGTCATTTTAAACAACAAAGCACTCTTGCAAGTTTGCTCTAAAATCGATTGTTCACGACACTTAAATGATTCAAATTTAAAACATTTCAAATAATGAATCTTTGCGATTTTTTAATTTCAATATGTATGAAGAACTAATTGAAGAAAACCAAAAAGTCTTGGATTTGGTGAAGGAAAGAGTATCAATTCTTTAGGATTTTTCAAGACAAAAGTGTGATTTTGACTAGATTGTACCAATGGTACATCCTTAATTAGATAATTTTCAAAAAGTCAATCTTTTGAAAACTCTTGTTTAAAAAGTGTATATAAATAATAGTATAAAGTTTATTAACAGCAGAACGATTTTCGAGCTAGTAAAGCACTTCATAAGCACGTTAAAAAATAGTTGATGTATAAAAAAGGTAACAAGTTCCGTGTGATAATTTAACGTAATACTTACATGTGTGGAGTGTTCCAAACATTTGTCTTCTCTCTTAGCCAACGAGTTTGTCGCGAGCGATTTACGCTATTGCCGCAAGATCGTCTTTGGCTACAACCAATTTCTTACCTCAGTTATTCTTTTGTTTCTTGGTCTTTTTTCCCGGCCCGTAATGCTTTTCTTCTTTACTTCTCGCGCACCACCTCAAAATTCATAACGTCTATGTAACGTGGAAGAAAAAGAAAATGCTGCTCAATTTATTTTTATAGCTGCTGCAAAGAAAAAATATTTTACTGATTACGAAAAAATTTGAAAATATTACCTATACATTCACATAGACGTGTATGCGAGATATTTTTTTTTCAAATTATTATGCGCTGAATCGAATTTTATAGCGAGAAAATTGCTCAAGAGTAAAATTCATATCCAAATGAGCAGAAGAGCAAGAGGGAAATTTCGGTTATTTAAAAGTAGAAAATAATGCCACCCTAAGGACAATAAAGCATTATAACGAAGTCACTGGCCACAAAGAATGAGAATCTGAATCTAAGAAAAATATATGACTGTGTTTTGTGCATCTATTCGAACTCAAAGAGAAGACAGTCAAAAAGGTTTGACGGCTTTTATATTGCTTTGACAATATTTAATTATGTGCCCAGGTTGCAACGGCAGCAAAGCAAGGTGAAAGGAATCTTTCTTCGGTATTTCCGGAATGTAGAAATCACACGCCTGGGTCATGTCGGGAACGAAAAATACCGGCCAAAAAGTTCAAAATATTCGAAGAAGCCAAGAAGTGTCTAGAATCGAGAGCAGAGCTTGATTGAATTCGAGCGCGAAACAGCGTCTTACAAAATTGCCGGTGAATTTTGCGACAAAAAGGAACACGAAAAAGAAACTATAGCGTGGACGAGTAAACGACCTTTAACGACAAAAACGCTCAAACATTTTTTCGTGTAGCCATAAATTCGAATCGACAGTTATGTGCTTGTCGTTCAATCACTCATGTATCTGCGATAGATGCGTCGACAGTGTCGTTGATATTTTGCCAGGTGGGAGTGTCAAGTCGGAAAGAGCTTGCAAACTCCTCGATGCAAATATATATATCGCGAATTCGCGCAGACAGTAGAGCGAAGCTCTGGTGGCGCTGGTGGAGGGGGCATATCGCGCTCGCCTCGCACTGCTGCGCCGTGCACCGTGTGCAGCGCGTGGCACATGCGCGCCGCCGCCGCCGCACCTCCCGAGAGAGAGGCGAGAGTTGCACCGCGCAATATTTCGACTCTCGTGCTGCAGATTCGAGCTCGTCGGATGGCCCCAGCAGTATCCAGTTCTGTGCCGCATCTCACGCTGCCTACGTCACGGAGTCGACGACCCTCTCCGACGAGCGGAGAGTATACATAGTACGTCACGCCTTCGGGAAATAAATATTATCGTTGCGTATCGGTGGAAGCCCCGCCGCGCGATGTGCAGTGCGTAGCTTTTTCGGCCTCGCTATCGATAAGATCGCGACCTACCGGAGTGCGGACGGACCTTCCTTTGGAATTATTCGATGCAGTGATTGAGTTTTGACACACGTGATGTTTGACAAAATATTCGTTTAGCAGTAACCGGTTGCTTGGAAAATCTGCGTCTCATCCATTCGATTGCCACTCAAGGAGCAATGGATCGTTCAGATTGGTTCAAGCTTACATTTATCGTCATCGTTGTTACAGGTAAGCGCAAAATCGTATGCGAGCGATTCGATAAAAAAATTTCCGAAAGTATTCAATTCAGACGCAAGTTAAAACTCGTAGAATAATAGATTTACTTTTTCATGCACATTTATTTTTCAAACGAATTAACTGGTGGATTGAAAGTACACCTGTAATTTCCTAGTTTCCGCTTCACGTGAATAAAGTGTGACGGTAGAGAAGTAAAGTAAGGGAATGATAAATGCGGCTCGTTTTGATAGTGGGTAATTGCGAGCCCACCACTCCATTCGTCATTCCGAGAGCTGAACTGAGAGAAGCCTGGCTGTAGCCTTTGATACGGGGGGAGATAGCGAGAGAGAGAGAGAACGAGAGAGTGAGAGAGGGAGAGCCGAAGGGCTTGATTACAAACTCGAGGTGTGGACGTACAACCTCATTTGAATTTAGCCCCTCTTCCTCTCATGACTTCCGCGTGGCTTGCTTACTAAAGCTCGGTAGCGCACGTTTTCCACTTTCCTTACGAGCGGTTCCACTGCTACTGCTGCTGCTCCTGCTGCTCCTGCTCGGTGGGCTACACCTCGCTTCTCCGAGCATTCTGCATACAAATACTCCACTGCTGCCTCAGAGAGACTCCAAGAAAGCGAAAGCTACACCGAAGCGCGATGCTGCACTCGTCTTGCGATTGCCTTTCCGAAAGTGCCCAAGGATGATTTTGAATTCCTTCCGGGAACAACTTTTCGTCGGCTGGTGAAAAAATTTGAATGCTTTGCGCAAGTTATTTGGCTCTGCGCGTGTTTCGAGCACGCGGAGGACTTTGAGCTTCTTCGGGTGTAATTTTTCAAAGCAAAAGACGCAAATAGTGAGCTTAGAGACGGGAGCTTACAGTGATTCGCTGCGTGTATACGTATAGTGAGGGAGGCAAATAGAGAGAAAGAGAGAGAGAGAGAGAGCTGAACAGACGATGCGAGAAGCGTAGCAACAACAGAGTGGCTTACTGCAAAATCTTCAAATGAGTTGTAGCGTGGCAGGGGCATTGTGGTTCCACATAGTATTATCTCCTCTTACAAAGTGCAAGTGCATGGAAAACGACTTTGTCACAGAAACCTATGCTATCGCTTACCTTATCCCAGCTTCTCTCGCTGTGGACTTTGCCGAAAGTTTTCAAACTTTACTCTTAAACTTGGCGTTTTCGATCCAATAAATGAGTTTAGAAAACAGTGAATAGTAATGATTTCGAGAAAGCGTTTTCGCGTCAATCCAAGACAAAATATATGTCGTCGTCGACGATTTATCGCTAAGCAAGCCGAGACATTAATAGCCGCTCGTCGCCCCTCACGATCTAAACTCTCGAGCTTTTTTCGTTCGGTGCTTATAATGCAAGTAAGTTGTCTCGCTTTCGCGCGATGTTTCCACGGAGGGTTGCTATTGCTGCAGCTGCTATATATCCATATAAAACAAGTCCATTGTCAACGGCACTACTCGCGCCAAGCGCCGTTCTTTCTCTTTCGTCCTACGCCCGGGTTATATACGTCCGCCGAGGGGTGCGTGTACAATTGCAGCCTGCAGTTTTCGCGACTCCATTCGGAATAATGAAGCTTGTAAGATGTTTCGGAGACACGGCGACGACGACGACGGCGTCTGAATTGTGCAGCTCGGCGGATTTTCTCTCGCCAGAGAAGAATAAAAGCAGTTAAAACGGCTTCTTCAGAGTTGACGAGTACTACTTCTCTATTATTATACTCGACTAATTATTTTTTTCCCTACTTATGACATTTTCTAGATTACATTTTACTGATTTAAAAATCCGGGCCGACAGTTTCAATGCTACTTGGATCTTAATAATGAAAATTCTTTTCTTTAATATTAAAAAGCTGAAAAAAAGTAAATGCGTTTGCTTTAACGATAGAATAAGTAAACTAAAAGTACGTAAGACTCGTGTTAAAATTTGTTACCGCAGAATTCACCCAAGTCTCTAATGAGTTCACGCTTCCATAGATAAACGCTCACCGATGCATATTACGCTTCTCTCGCGCGTTTGTATTTTTGGTTTTCCCCTAGAAATGCGAAATAATTTCAATTCGATATGCACACAGCGAGCGAATCTCGGTTCTGCCGAAAGAGAGGAAATCTGCATCGAGGAGAAACTATCCATCTAATTTATGATGCACCGCGGAGAGAAATAATAAAAGTATTCGAAAGTTTAGAGAGGAGATGGAGGACGAGACCACAAAAGTTTTATTATAAGTGGACGTCCGGGAAGTTTGAGACTGTCATTGCAAGAGGAACGAGAGGCTCTACGAATATAGAGTTGTATAAAATCGTTGAGTGCGTTGTTGAATGAGTCGTTAATTTTACTACTTCTACATCCGAAACTTTTCTCTTTAATTCTCAAGTGCTTTTAACGTTGTAAGCGTGTGATGCGCGTTATTAATCAAGACTGTTTTCTTTCACGACTTTTATCATCAGCGGCGTGCATATTTTCATCGTTAGTATTTGCAATTTTACGATCGGCTAATTTACGAATTATACGACGTGCGAATTTAATCGACCGTTTCCCGCGTGGCTCGTGGCATTTTTGCTTGTTTAACTAACAGTAAAGCCGAGATTTATCATTAATTAAAATTCTTAAACAGCAATGCAGATAAAGCCTCTCGGTGTGCGCGAAACTAACGAAGGCTCGTTTAAATTTAGCCAGCTTGCGTGCGCTCGCGCGCGTACAGCGAAGCGGTGCGCTCGCAAAGAAACCAATTCGATACTTGAGGCATAAACTCGCTACGAGAGTGTTTATTAATATTACGGAACGGATGACCGTGGAAGTGCGGGCAGGAAAGAGCCGCTGCTGCTGCGCGTGCTGAGTAATGCTGCTACAGGCCGCGGACGACACGCTGCTTAAGATAATAAGCGCTTCAACGTTTGTGTGTTTTTTCGGTATTAATCAACATCCTTCGGTTTTCCAAGTCCTAAAAATGGATCGAATGAAACTTCAACCCTTTCTTTGTTTGTCTTTGTTCGTGAGTCGTCTCGCATAGTGCCTTGATGAATGTTCGAATTAGAAATCATCAGAAACTTTGTTGAAGCTTTTTTAGGATGAATAATTTCTAGCATGAGAGCGTACAGAGTTTCTCGATAAAAAATTTATTTGATTTTTATATTCGTTCGTGTAAAGCTTCAACAGTTCTCGATTACTTTTCATGCACAATTCAACTTTTTATTAAATGTAAAAATGTTCTGTTAAAAAAAGGAGTTCACTCTCGTTTCGCCTCAACTTTTGACACTTAACATTGAACCAGCAGTTTTATGCATTCAACCTGAAATTCTGTTCTATATTTGAAGATGCTTAATTAATGAGCTTGCATAATAATGAAAACTAATGAATGTCAAAAATACGAGGCATTTTGAACTAATAAATTGATATCAAAATGCATATGCCATAATTAGAAGCGCATGTGCACGGTACGTATCTGATTGAACTCGTACCATTGAAAATTTACTATCTAATAGTAGTATCGAAAATAATATCGAAAAAAATAAAAAGACGAAAAATTTTGTTGACTATTTTAAAAGATGCAAAAGAGGTTTAGTCGCCCCATGCGAAAAAGTCTACGATTATATTTCCCCTAAAAAAGCATAAAATTTGCGACTTTTTGACACACGAAACATCATATTGTGCTCAAAAAATTTGAAAGTAAAATGTCGATGCTCGACCTGTATGAGCAAGAGAGTACGTGCGAGAGCTGGATCGATATATATGTTACCGCATGCAATTTACAACGACGCCCAGATACAGTTATAAATATGCACCGGCCATCGCACGAGGCGCGCACAAAATGTCGAATAAATAGCAGCAGCCAATCCGTGGAGTTGGCCAACAACAAAAAAAAAAGGAACCTCAAATTTCGTACTTGACATTATCATTGCACGAGGAATTAACTCGGTAAAAACAAAGTTAATTCGTCTTCCCCGCTTTCATTTTTCAACTATGTTGCTGCTCTTGCTGCTCCTGCTGGTGCTGGTGCGGGAGATGCACAAAAGCTTTTGAAACTGCAAAAGTGTGTATGTGCTGGGTGCGCTGTGTGTGTGTGTGTGTGTGTGTGTGTGTGTATCCCCCGTGCTTGCGGAGCCCGAAATTTCGCTGGCGCGCACCTTGCGGGCACAGTTTGCTTCATAAGAAGCCGCGTGGTTTTATGTAAATCGCGCAGTTTGCCGCTGACGAGATGCGGGCAAACATCGCACTCGAATGAGAAAATATACAGAGGCTGTGCAGCGCGCGGCGGTGGCATGATCCATCGCCCGAGTGCGGGAGTGCTGCTGCGAGCGGCCTGCGTGTATATATTATGTATATCTATATAGTAGGGACGCGCTCTCGCTCGGCTGTGTCGTTTTTGGTGCCGAGACATCTAATCCAATTTTCGCGCCGACACACGTGGATGCCGAGCAATTTGTTTATTACAAGCCGCTGCTTGAGTTGTATTAGATTCTTTTGCCTAAACTTGCGATACATCGCACCGTATGCTTATAATTGAAACAAAAAACAAGCTGCATTTAGCGCGTTCAATACTTCGAAAGGGCCCCTCCATTTTGATATCGTTCCTATGCCTCATTTGGAAAGTCATTTATTCTGCGCGTTGCGATAGTAAATGTTGCGTCGAAAACGTAAATCTTTTCATTAAAATTTCAATGGAGGTAATAAAATCGATACAACGAGGCCTCTTTAACACGTACACGCAGCTGATAAAATGATAAAGCACGCATCGCATTACCTTATAATGCTTTGATGACATACATCTTGTTAACTAGCGCTGCTTCTCAATAGCATCATATAACACGCGCGTTACGTAGACGATTCCATATAAAATCAGCACTTCCGTTTTTTTTTTTTTTTTTAATTATAAAATACATAATATTTAAAGAATTTCATTAGCGTTTCAGGAAAATTATAAGTTTATGTATCAACTTGGAGGGCAGGCGGCGTTGAGTTGGCGCGCGTGTCGGCGTCCAATTTTTTTGCCGTTGAAAGACGATGC